ACACACACACACACACACACACACACACACACGCGCGCGCGCGCGCACACACACACACACACACACACACACAAACCTCAGGCTGACTCCGGAGGAACGTCAGGGCTTCTTCAAAGTATTCCAGATCAAAATGGCTGACAGACTTGGGCAAATCGGCATAATTGTAGTACGCCAGACACAAAACCACAAAGCCTTTGTTTGCCAGCAGGCTTCCCCGCACCTCTGTCAAGCCACCACCGAATGTGTACAAATCAAGAACCCCTGGGAATGGACCAGGTCCTGTTACACAGAAAAAGCAGTAATCAGATTACACGTCTTTCTCGATCGGGATCACAAGCCCTGTTTCCACTAAGTTTTAAAACGTGTCTTGGGTGAGCCGATCACTAGTAGACAGCCGAGACAACTGCGCTTAGTTATAGTGACCTGCATTTTCAGCTAATTCAAGAAGGCAAAGTGTCTTTTTCAGAAGTAATATTATGACAAAAAGCTATGTTAGATGTTATGTTAAATGAATTCGTGCCCCAGATTGTTAGCCGTTTAATTTCAGACAAACAGAAAGGCATTCTGGAAAACTAACCAGGTGGTACAAACAAGGTTCCCCGTATTCTTCCAACTTTTACGGGTGACCTGCGAGTTCCTTCCACCATGAATCCTCTTTCCACAGTCTCACTTGCAAGTGCGTGTCCCAAATCCGTGGCATTAATTACTTCGATATTAACCAGAAGAGACCTCGATGCGTCCTTAATCATAAGTCTGGAGCAGGGTTTTTCTGGCGTCATAGACCAGAACAGTCCCATAGGTTCAATGCCTGTATAGCTGCCACCCAGAGAACCAGAGGTTCCTAAATCAACAGTACCGCTGAAGTCTGCGCTATATTCGGCAGATGACTTAAAAAGTACGCCTCTGTCATCAATTAGCTTAGCTTTCAGCTCCACACGCTGCTCTGGAATAAGACCGTCCACTTTTATTTGCAGCGGCTCATCAAACAGACTCTTCCGGCTGGGAAGAATCTGCAAACGAGGCCGAAAATCCATTACAGTTGATGTACTATAAAACGATCGACTACAAAGGCGTTGTATTCTATACATCCGCATCTTCAGAGCTACCCTTCTTAATTCTTCTTTACGTGGAAAATCATAGAAGTAAAACTGTGCGGTAAACATTGTCCGTAATTTTGCTGCCCCTTTGCGACTTGGAAGTTTAATGCTTGCATTTTAGCCTCGGATGCAGCTTTTGTATGTCACCTTAGTATAATTTTAAAAGGAGTTTTTACAAAAAGTATTCTTAAACTATGATATTAATAAATGGACGTTGCATAATAAAACAAATTATATTCGCCCAATTAAAAAGTACCAGTATTTTTCAAAGCTTTTCTCTTAAAGTATTTTTCTTAAAAAAAAAAAGGCAAAACAAGCAAACGGAGGGAGAGAGAAAGAAATTTATTATAGCAAGGAAAGGAAGCATATTTTATTTATATATCTCTATTATTATTAGTAGTAGTAGTAGTAGTAGTAGTAGTAGCTAGTACTAGGGATGCTCCGATCAGGTTTTTTGCTGCCGATTCCGATACCGATCACCAATATGGTGCCGATCACCGATACCGATCACATTGATTGACTGTAAATTTTTCAATTTAGTTATGATGAGTGCTACTGGCTACATGATCTGGAAAAAAGGAACCATAAAATCACCTTAATTTAGACAAAAACATGTTTTTACTTACTTTTTCAAGAGAAAAAATACAAAAAAACTTGTAGGCACAATGCAGCAACTATTCAGTCCAAAGGACAACTGAAAATCACTTAAATTTACCTGCTATCAATAACACAATCTTTAACATTAAGGCTCTCAACAGGCTAAATAGTGCAGAAAGTCAAATAAATCTCACAACATTGCCTAAATCAAATAATCTCAAGTAAAAAGTGAACTGCAGGTCGCATTCAAATAAAGTATAATAAGTTACTAAATCAAAAATACCTGCAGAGAGCATGGCTTACTGTTTTGTGCATGAGCAAACTGTTGTGCATTGTGAAAGAGAAAAAAAACTTCTTATAATTTATAAAAAAAAATAATATAATGGGTCTGTTAATTGTTTCGTATGCAAAATAAAAAAGCCCATTTGCTACTTAAATAACAACATTAATATGGTCTTAAAGACCTTGAAACAGAAAAACAGCGAAATTAAAGTGAAAAAGTGAAATTAAAGTGCATTAGCTTTGAACTGGGAAAAAATGTTGAACAGCATTTACACATGCTAAATGCCTATGTTGATGAGCATTGTGGGAAGATTCTTTTTAATACAGAGGAGCATCTCAGCTTTTTCAGTCATGAGTCTATTCCTGTGTTCGTCCACAATGTTGGATGCAGCGCTGAATAAGCGCTCACTCTCCACAAATATTTACGTCCCGGTAAAACATAGCGGGACTCCAAGTTATCGTATTTTTGGAGGGAGCAACTCACACTGAGACTGACTGGTGAAGCAATGTACTCCACTCTTTATTATATTTTTTACTTCCCCTCCGTTGTCCACACTGTATCTCCCTGCCTCTTCCGCCTATTTCCCATTGGCCTATATTCATGCCAATCACCAACTGTTTCACATACAAATATGAATACACCACATCTTCCCTTTCTAGAGAACAAAGGGTAAGTAAAATGAAACTGCATTGTAAAAGGAGGCCATGTTTATTTCCATGGTAGTACCAGTGTTAAAGGGTAATAGAGGATTTTTTTAGTATTTCAGCTGTATTGATTTATTCACGGACATTGTAGTTCATTCCACTGGAAAAGATAAGTTACAACAACTTAAGCTAAATTTAATCTGCTGAAATCTTTCAGAGGGTTCAATAAAACATTCAAGTTCAGGCAGCTTGAAAAAAAAAGTTTTATGCTTAAATCATTTGAGTCAGCAAATTTCCTCAGTTGTTTTGAATAAGCTCAACTTAGCAGAGTTTACAGCAGGGGTGCCCAACTCCAGTCCTGGGGGGCCAGAGCCCTGTGTAGCTTAGTTCTTTCCCTGTTCCACCATAAATGATTCAGCTCAAGAGCTGTGTGGTAATTAGCACAAGGAGTTGAATCAGGTGTGTTAAATGAGGGTAAACCCGAACATGTGCAGGGCTCTGGCCCTCCAGGGCTGGAGTTGGGCATCCCTGGTTTACAGTGTAGGTAGACTTTAGCTTAATTTATTTTTAGTATTTTATTTCCTAAAATTGGGTATACTTTACTCAAAAAATCAGTTTAAATATACCCAAAAAAGTAAGTGCAAATTCTTGCCTCATTTTATTTGAGTAAATTCTATGGGCTAATTTTTATAGTGCAGATTTAATTTGATGAATTCGATTTTATTTAATACATACAACAATGTAAATGTTACACAAGACCAGAAGATAATTATTAAATTTCCTTATATTTAACACGTGATTGTTAAGTAACTTACAGTTAAACTTACAAGGATTTATTTTTTAAAGTAAATACTACACAGCATTTTTTTCAGTTACCCTTACAATAACAGTGAAATACCATGTCTTCCACCTGAACAGGAAACAGCATGAGGCTCATGCTACCAAAGACACTTGCATCATGCCTGGTACCACCTTGCACAAGATATTAAATATGGCCCTTTATCTTAATTGGCATTGGGAACATTGAGCTTTACTTTACTCATAAAAAATTATACATTTACCAAAAAGAAGTGAGTGCAAAAATGGTGCCTTATTTAATTTGAGTAATTGAGTAATTTGTTTTAATTTGAGTTTAAATTTACCCAAAAGAGTGAGTGCAAGTTGTTACCACATTTTTGTAACAACCCATCCTACCCATCTCCCAGTATGACCAGCAGGGATCACTGCTGGTCCTCTGCAATACTCCTGTGTTCTTCTCAGCTGTGTCCTGTTCATAATCCAATCCCCTTATGTGGTAAAAGTCAACACTTGAATTGAATCAGTCCCTTGTTAGTCCCAAATATACCTACTTCTCAGATCTATGTTCTCCAGTCCCATATTTAGCATCAGTCCTCCTCTTACCTGTACCCATCGCCAAGTCAGTCTTCTTGTTTTGATCCCTCACAGTCCTGTTTGTTTCCCTGCTCCTGTTTTGTTACTAAAGCCCATTTGTCTGCTGACACCTGCCCTGGAGTCCTTCATCTCTCACAACATGACAGAATGACGGGGCTCTCCAAGACCACCTTCCTCAGCCCAAGCCTCTTGCCTGCTCACCTCGGTTGTTCAAGGACAATCCACTAATTGATCCAACAAGTGATGTTGATCTGGAGGAGCCAGATGATTCCGATAAGCTAGCAGTATCAACCCCCCATTTGGATTGTTCTGCCAGCGCCAACCCTATATAGGTTACAGCACTGGAAGAGGAAGCCAGACCCGAACTGATGCTGCTCAGGACTCCTGGTTCTCTAGAGTCCACCGGGGTCCCACCGCACATTTTTTCTTCAGAGTCCATGCTAATCCTTCTGGAGCCACTCCGCCTGTGAGCTGCGGAATCCTTCTCCCTTTTGTAAGCCCTCCTGGAGTGGAGGCTCAATCCCACTGTATGGGAGGTGCCCGAGGTCAGAGCGCTCTTCATGTGGGCAGGGGATATCAAAGCGGACCTTACTCCAGGCTTGAATCCCCAGGTGACAGAGAAGGTCCAACGCTAAATGGGGGAGATGCAGTGGCTACTCGAGCATGTAGCCACTCAGCCTGGTGCTTTTTCGCAGTGTGAGGCTGCTCAGCTCACCGCTGCTTTGACGGCATGAAGTCATTTAGCTCTCTGTTGCTCACTGCTGTTCAGCCTGCCACCTCACAGTAGCTCGTTGCTGCTCAGCCTGCCTGTTCTACACAGCTCAGCCCACAAGTTTTCCGCAGCTCACCACAACTCCCAGCCCTGGCCGAAGGGGGAAGAAGCAGAGGATGTGAGCTGTGCCCATGGCTGCCATCCCACCTAACCTGGTGCAGCCAGAGCCCTGGCTAGGGGAAGCCACTGCTGTACCTCCAGAGCCTGACCCAGGAGAGGCTTAGACTGCACCTCCAGAATCCAACCGCAGTGAGACTGCTGCTGTGCCTGTCTTTGCCTCTTCTGCATCTCCAGAGTACATCTTCATCTTCGCTGAACCTCCAGAGTTCGTCTTTGCCTCGGCTGCACCTCCAGCACCTGGCCACACATGGGCCTGCTCCACCCAACATTCCAGAATCTGGAAGGGCCTCACCTGCTTTTCCCAAGCCTCTGTAGTCGGGCCTCGCAGTCTGATTCCCCGGTTGCTGACCGGGAAGGGGCCTTTATGCCCATGCTCCAGGCTCCCAGCCCCAAGAGTGTCAACTTACCCAAGTCCCAGGTTCCCGGCCCAAGAGGGGTTACATCATCTGCACCTGGTCCCGCTTCAGCCATGTTGCCCGAACCTGACCCAGTAGATGCCATTCTGTCTCTGTTTGACCCCGGTAGTAGTAGCTTATTTGGGCTTGCTCCCAATCTCCTGTCTTTCTCCACTATACCAGTCCCATAACGTGAAATTGCCAAGTTTTCCCTGTTTCAGGATCTCTTCGCCCCTCTCCTTCCCCATACTAATAAAAACAAATCAATATTGCGTGAGTGATGGAGTTTCTTTAGATAACAATGTCAGGGACTAAGTAGGTGAAATACACAGAAAAAAATACAACAAAGTCTATAACTTTCATTTTCATTCATTCATTGTTCAACTTCTTTCAAAAAAGAAAAACGTAAATGTAGTTACAGTACTGAGTAACACTTTACTTGTGGGTGCACAAATACTTAGTAGTATCTCAGTTACTACTGAACTATAAATCGTGAACAAATATAATAACTCCTTGGGATAAAAGATGCACCATGATTCATTAACAATGAGTAAACATGAGGTCTCCACCATTGCTCTATGTGTGTGGAGTTTGCAGGTTCTCCCCGTGTCATCATGGGATTTCCTCCAGGCACTCCAGGTCCCCCCTCAGTCCAAAAACATGCTGAGATTAATTGGAGTAACCAAATTGCTTGTAGGTGCGCTGTGTCCAATGATGGACTGGCACCCTGTCCTTGTTTCTTGCCTTGTGCCCATAGCCCCACAACCCTGAATTGGACAATCGGTTTCAGAACATAGATGGATCCATTTATACATATACATACAGTACTGTGTAAAAGTTTTAGGAATTCAAAAAAAATGTTTAGAGATATTCATCTTGGTAGCACAGATGCTCCTCTACTTACGAATGAGTTACATTCTGAATGGCCATTCATAACTGGAAATGTTCGTTAGTCGTTATTCAACATAATTTTAAGGGTATATGCAAGTACAAAGAACTAGGATGCTGGGAGTATGCACGCTACACTGCTGCATGGTGGGAGTAGCGGCCAGAAGTCATACTAGGCAGAATTGCTGCACAGAAAAAAAAAATGATGTTGCGGACAGGAAACGGGAGCCCAAGGAACACAATTTGGACTTACAGTCCTCTTCGTTCGTATGTCTGAAAGTTCGTAAGTTGAAAGTTAGGAAGTAGAGGAGCGTCTGTAATTCTATATTTTCTCAGAAAAAAACACAATTTAAAATATGCAAATGAATAGTAACACAAAAATAAATAAGAATTTCATCTGTTTTCTAAAAAGTTACTGATATCTTGGATGGCTAGATAAACTGTGCTTTGGTTCCCAAAACTCTCCTTAGGACGTCACCCTAGTCATTCTATGTATTCATTAAATTTCTCCATCGGCACTTTTAATTAACATGATTTGTTAAATAACTCAGTGGGGTATTAATTAGCCAAATAAGGTTGGGTAGTGGTTGATTAATAAAATACATGGTGTATTTGACGGTTGCTGCAAATAATGTGGTGATTTTAGGTGAGGTTTTGAAATGGCTAACATATATAGAATTAGGCACTGACAAAAAGTATAAAAACAAAATTATAATTTGTTGGGGGGAGGGGGACAGCGTTGTGAGTTGGAACTCAGAATGTTGCTGGTTCAGATCCCAGGTTTGGCAGAGTAATGCCACCATTGGGCCCTTGAGCAAGGCCCTTAACCCCAATCAGTACAGGGACTGGCTGACCCTACTGTCTCCTCTACGCCAGTTCCATGAGGTGGCCTCCTGGGATGCTTCTCCAGCTGTCCTGAAGGAAGTCCCACATATACTGAGCACTCAGTGGCTGCTTATCCTTCACTCTCTGGTCAGACTCCTTCAAAACTATACACTCAGCCTCAGAAGCACTCTGCTTGCACAGGTGATGAAAGATGGAAAAAGTTCAAAGCATCCTTTTTCTTCAGAATATATATTTATATAATTATTCCTCCCCACAAAAAAAAAACAGACAAGTACGTATTTAATCACCACCATGGCCCCTCTGTCGTATGTAGACAAGTTTCAGAATATTGTAGAAGTAATACCTGAATTTTAGATGGTTGAATTGAACTTTTAAGTTATACCCTGTCACGCTTCAGGATAACCTGCCATTTTCTGGCTCATCATTATGCAGAACAAGAAGGCAGTACCTTTCAAACAAAAATGTTTGTAAAATTCATTTTGGATCCACATTGTCCACGCCATCAAGCGTGACACACACCACTTTTTTAAAATCATTTATTCTAATTAATATTTAGAGTTATTTTGTTCATTTTACTTGTTCATTTTGCTATTTTCTATTAACAATGAACAATAACTGTAAATTCTAAGTAGGATTAAGAACAGTCAGGATTTAACAGAGAGAACACCATGATTACTTCAAGAAACAAACAATTGCAACTGTAACAGAATTCAACAGTGCTGACAATTTACTCCTAATGAAACTAATAAAAAACAATAATTAAATGAAACTCGTTTGAAGAAAAAAAAAGATGTCAATTTGTGTTCACAGACCCACTACCGTTCTTTGTACTATAATCAGAGACGAGCTGTGATTTGGCAGAGCAGCAGTACCAGGCAGTACTGAAGCTAAGCTCGAGCTGTGACCCCTCCTCCCCCCGCCCAGTCACTAAGGGACCTGGAACGGCAGCTGTGTATGTCACTGTACTATATTTCATAGGGACAATAAGGCCACTAAGTCTAAAGGTTCCTCCAGCATTTCCTTTTTTGTTGCTTTCTGCAACATGAACCTTCAAACATTGAAGAATTCAACATTCTATAGGGCTTTAATCATCAATATAAGAGTAGAAATAAAATCTCACAAAAACAAGTGTGTTTTACTTCTAGCTACTACTGGACCAATGCATAGTATCTGCGTTTACCTAGAAAGTGGGCTTTTAAAAAATATTTGCACCACAGAGCCAAAGAAAGAATGTAAGGCTAATTTTGGCAACAATGTAACCTAACCAAAATTGTTTTTTTTAACACATTATGGAATACTTTGGAAAAATTACTTTTCCTTGCTGGATTACAGGACATACTGGAATATGATGGATGAAGCAAGAAAGACGTCTCACATTTGTTTATTGACAAAACAACAAAATGTATAACAGAAAGATTCATCATGGCCAATCAACATTAACAGAATGTCTGTCAGATAGTTCGCTTTGAGACCCACACTGACTCATGAAGGTTTTAGAGCAATCTGTGGTCTTGACAGAAACTGGACAAGCAAAGATCACGCAGACAGTCCAAATCAGCATCTTCTGTCTAGATGAGGGTCTAGTGAAGGTCAAGGCATTTACGATGGCCCTAAAACTGGCCCCCTCTAAACCGCTCACTTTTTCAAGGTTACTGACATCTTGCGAAGTCCCTTCATTCGATACAGGAGTCCATTGATGAACTCCTAGCAGGAACAAAAGATACTGTAGAGTTCAAACAATATAGAACAGGGTAGAGAACTAACCTCCATTATCACAGCTCCCATGAAAAACATAAAGTCAAATGACTGCTGTCGCATTGCTGTGTACACTTACCTCTTTCGGCTTTGCACATTCTTGAAGAAGGTCCTGGGAAGATATTACAAACAAATTTATACAGAAGTGAATAAAAACTTAAGTGCGTGTGTGAAATGGGATGGGTTCTGATTGACTGGTGAACTCTTTGAAAAAGGAATGGGATGGATCGTGATTGGGTGGTAATCTCTGTGAAAATGGAATTGGAGGGATTCTGATTAGCTGGTGATCTCTGTGAATATGGAATGGGAAGGATACTGATTGATACAGGGCCTGATGACTCTTACTTGCAGTCTTGATCGTTGCTCAGTATCTGGCAGCTCAAGCAGCTCATCTATGTCAATCTCTAACTGTGGTATGTCATCCTCCTAGAGACACAAGCAGAAAACACCCTTTAATGAGGCAAATCTCAGGGAAATGGATATACAGGGAAACATTTGTATTATTGGACAGACACGTCAGAGAGAACAGCAATTATACTATAGCTTCATTCAAATACATGTCAATCAAGTAAATTCTTTATGGATGTGAAGTTAAAGGGCTGTGTGGCCATTTTTTAATCTGTAAAATGAAGAATTTTGTAAATTAAAAGGGTACTGAAACAATTTAGCATAACATTAGAAAGACAAAGCTCTGTTTTGTCCTAATTAGTAGAACAGTAGGTACTCATAATTACTAATTTTAATTAGTCAATTTACTTAGTAATTTTTATGAGTTTTCTGATTTAGTGTGATATTGCAAAATATAACTTAGAACACTCATACTTTACACATGGAAATGGAACAGTATCATTTCAAGGACAAACCATTGGCAGTCCTGCTGATATCTGAACTTAGAACACTTATGGTGTAATATTATAGAAGGACATGCTGTGAACTATTAGGCTCTTTTGAAAAGTAGTTGCAGAAGAAAATGTATGGGCTTTGTTTCAACACAGCATAACAGTTAAGCCAGAGATTTTTGGAAGGAGAACAGAGAAAGAGAGAGAGAGAAATAAATAGATAGATAGAACTTATGTTATTAAAGTAAGTGGCTCAGTGGGCTAAGCCTGTGTGCCTGTAATCACAAGGTTGCTGGTTCAAACCCCGACTCAGCATGTCTTCGGGTCCCTGAGCAAGGGCCTTAACCCTCAGCTCCCTGGGCGCTGCTATGGGTGGCTGTCAGGGGCGGATTAAGGTGTACAGAGGCCCCTAGGCTACAGTAGTCTGTGGGCCCCTCAACCAAGCCCCGCTCCGCGCCAATGGGGGCCCCCTTGCAGGCTGGCACACGTGGGGCCCCTAGGCTTAAGCCATATCTAGCCTGTGCGTTAATCCGCCCCTGGTGGCTGCCCTTCGCAGACAACTTACTCCACAAAGAGCAGGTTGAGGGACGTGTAAATACAGTTTCACC